CATGCAGTTTCAGCTATCAGTTCTTTAAGAATTAAAAAGTTAATGAAAACAAAATAATTATCTTTTTCATAATCAAATGTATTCGAATAGTTGAGTTTGATTTTCTTTTCACTAGAACAGCTAGAACTAGCTGCTTGAGTTGTGGACGATGATGAGATAGAGGAAGAAGATGATTTTTTATTTCCAACAACTCCATTCCATTTTCGTTTTATCCTTTTTGGTAAATTTATTTTACTTTTATTTCCTTGTTTATTTATTTAAAAATAACTTTATAACAACTAAATCGAAATCACTTTTAAAATTATTTGGTACAAAATGAGAGAAAAGTTACAGTATAAAAGACTAACACTTAAAGAGACCAAAACACTCCTGTTCTTAAATTAAGTGTTGAAATATGACTTTTAAAACGGAAAACTAATCGTTTTAAAAGAGTCTGGATATAGCACATTAAAATCAAGTTTGTGATGGTATTTTACTGTTTTGAATTCATAAAAAATCATATGACTGATGGTTGCTAAGGCGTTGTTAGGTAATTTATTTTTAACTGTCATGTACTAAAATGATATTAAATCAACTTTTATATCATTTTTGAGACTTTTTTTTTTTTATATATATATGATTATTGAATGATTATAGAATCAAAATACCAAAAAATATATAAAAATTGATATTTTCAAAAAACTTGCTTATTTTCAATTGTGGGCCACCTTAAATAGTAAGGGTAAAAGGTAATCAAAATATTTGCAAAAACAAGAAAAGTCAGTTAAAAAAAAAATGTAAAAAATGCTTGCACGGAAGCATTTCTTACAACTGTATTGATGAATGCCGTTATGTAAACGTAAAGCAGTTGACATAAAATGATCGAATGAGCGTAATAAAAGTTGCTTCATCTGTCATTGCATCAAATGATACATCTCCCGGTGGCACAGTTCAACTTGGTCGAGGTGATAAAAAATCTCTTCCGATAAGGTATGGAGATTATTATGCTATTTATTCTGAGCCATAAAATTTAAATATGAATAATTGATTTGGTGTTTTTTTCTTTAGAAACGTCTGTAGCACAGTCACTCTTGCAAAAATCTTTTTCAATTAAAACTATGATATTTAGCAGATTACCAGACGTTCTAAAATTGGAATGAAAATGTTTTAATTACTTTGATTCAAGTTTGGACTAAAACTAAAAACTGGTTAACTTCAATTTACATATCATTTCAGCCAGTCAGTTACCATTACGTGGCAGCCACTTAAATAGCTATGATTGAACGATGATGCTAAAAAGAATTTATATCTGATAAGCTCCTAGAACTTTTATATCATTTCCAAGTTGTTAATTTTTATTTTTGATGCTCACTAAGGGTGGTAACCCAGGGTCAACGATAACACATTTTTTCATTTTTTCGGAGAGTCTTCGTCGATGGCGGGCGTGTTTTTATAACGGAAAGATAAAGATAATCAGTAAATAAAGTAAGAAATTAAAAAAAAAATTAAAATTAACGAAAAAATAAATAATAATAATAATTAAGTGCATATAAATTTAAAAAAAAAACGTCGAGAAAAATCCAAATAAAAAGAAGTCCAAATAAAAAGTAGAAGGAGAGAGTTTACGTCATATAAACTTTTAAAAGAATAGACTAAAAAAAAAAAAAATTCGAACTTTTATTCACCTAAATTTAACTAAAAGAAGAGATTAAATTTAAAAAAAATAAGAAAAGATCAAGTTTTAGAAGATATTTTTGTAGCTAATCTTTGTTGTAATTATCATTTTTTAAATATTATCATTTTGTGTATGCGTTTCTTTTTGTAGTTTTTGTGTTTCTCTTATCGTTTGCGTAAAGTTTGTTATTATTTGTGCTAATTATTTTTATTGTTGATTGCTGTTTTTCTATTTTACCAAATTTTCTACACCTTTTTTATTTTACTTTATTTCGCAAAAATAACAAAAGTTTGTCTTTATTTTTTAATTTTTTTTTTTTTTGTAGAAGTGTTTGTGTTTGCCTTTTCGTTTTGTTGTTTTTGTGTTTCATCTTGTTGTTTTTGTGTTTTGCCTTTTCGTTTGTGTAAGGTTTTGTTTTTTATTTGTTCCGTTTTGCTTATTATTTTTATTTTTGCTTGGTGTTGTTATTAAGTGTTTTCATATTTTTTTTGTCTTATTATTTAACTTATCGTTGTTTATCGTTGTCGTTGTTTATCGTATCGGTTTATTATTATTATTTTATTTATTTTCTTAGCGATTTTCGGTTCATATTTATTATTTTTATAACTATTTTATTATTATACTAATTGTTATAATTAATTCGTGTCACTCATTTTGATTATGAATGACACTCATGTCATCATGTTATTTGTATTATTATAGATAATATTATTTTTTATTTATTGTTATAATTATTTGGTGTCACTCCTTTGATCAGGCTTCTGTTTGAGTAACACCTTCCTTTTCAAATAATTATTTATATTTATTCTTATTAGTTATATTTTATTATAATTATATTATTTGTATCATTATAGATAATATTATTATTTTTTTAATTATTGTTATAATTATTTTGATCAGGCCTCTGTTTGAGAGATATCTGCCTTTACAAATAACTATTTATATTTCTTCTTATTAGTTATATTTTATTATAATTATATTGATTCTATTGTTATAGATAATATTATTATTATTGCTATTTAATGAATATATGTAAATTTTGAAAAAGGAAAATAAATATCTTGTTGTTGTTGTTGTTGTTGTTGTTGTTGTTGTTGTTCTTGTTCTTGTTGTTGTTCTTGTTGTTGTTTTCTAAAAGAGGTTTTTTTTTTTTTTTTCTTTCTAAAATAGAGGACTTTTTTTTAGAAATTGACAACTGTAACCTTCCTTTTCCGTGTTGTCGCCCCTGTAATCGATAAACGATTTACCAATTAATAAAAGTTAATAATTTAATGATTAATTAACAAATCAATAGTTGATCAATTTTTTATCTTAAAAATAAAAGTATTGTTATTTTTATTTTTTATTTATTTATCTTTTATTGTTAAAAAAAAGTTTGACGTTTTTTAAGAACAAACAAAAATTGTTTTTACTTTTTCGGTACCGTTGATAAATGTAAACAAAACAGTACGGCAGTAGAGTAACCTGACCGCCTTTTACATTGTCATCTGTAAAAAATTGTTCTGAGATTTGAAATTACTTATTATTAGAAACGATACTCAAGTGCAAACTTTGTTCTTAAGAATATTCTTACATTAATGCTAAAATATTTTCAAACCACAAAATATCACATAGATCAAAAGTATCCGAAGCTAGGTTACAACGATTAAAGAAGACAATTTAGTACGGCGACAAAATGAACCCAAAACGAACTAAAAGAAGAAGCAGAAAGCATAAATTTACTTGTTGATCTCAATGCTCTTTAAAAGATGTTTAAAAAATTTATTTGGAAAACACATTTGCCACAACGGAACTAATAAAATTGCAACTCCAAGATGCTTATATAAATCCTTTTGATGTCAAACACTGTGGTCTTCTAGAGATTGTTCATTGTTTTATCACAAGCATTTAAAATCAATTTTCTATGAATTGAAGAAAAACCAGCAAAATGTTTAGCATGTTTACTACATTTTTTTCTGTTTTTGACAGGTCTTTTTCAGCGATGAAAGCGCATTTTAAGTTTTGCAGAATAAAGCTCTATTTGCGAGTTGCAGCCATGGAGAAAAGTTTCAATTTGAGTTGTTCAATCTGTTGCGCAGTTTACAAAAGTGACAATATGGTTATTCATCTCAAAATGGTTTGCATTTGGATACAAACCTTTTTGAGATGAATGACCAGATCATTTATTTCTAAAGGGTTTTTTTAAGAAGAGAAGTGGCCAAATATGTGATCTAAACTCTTTGAAAAGATTATTGATATGTGGAATTATCATCTTAAAATAGTGGAAATAGTACAATTTTGTATTGGTAGCATTCCACGCAGAATTGCAGCTCTAACAGCGGCTAAAAGTAGCTCAATAAAAAATTAACATTTGGTTGCATAAATTTTTTTTTTAAAGAGTTAGTAAGTATAATTTTCTTGTAAAAATGATTTATTTGTTTTAAAAAACAGGTAAGAGGTCGTCCATTTCCTTCCGGAAAAGAGTCACCCAAAAACGTACGAATTCGTAAAAGGGGTAGGGAGTGTTAAAGACAGCGAGTAAGTACGCGGTTTGACTCTATTCTTTTTTTTATCGTTCTCTAATTCTCCTAAAACTTGATTACATTATAAAAAAAAAAAAAAAAAAGTATTTTCCAAATTTTAAAAACCAATTCTGTTGTAAAAGAGTAACGTTGAATTAACTTTTTCTAAAAATTTATTTTGTCAACTTGTCAAAAAACTAGAAATCAAAAAGGCTATGTTTTTGATATGGCCATCTTTGATATGCTATCTTAAAATTCATCTAAGTCCTGGAAAAGGTTTAAGGTTATATATATATATATATATATATATATATATATATATATATATATATATATATATATATATATATATATATATATATATATATATATATATATATTTATATATATATATGTATACATTTAACCTTAAGTTAAGTTGGTCATATCAAAGACATAGCTAATATATAGCCTGTGTTTTTCTCATGGTCTACAATTTGCTTGTGCATAATTTGATAAGGATCAGATGAATGGTATAGGAATAAATAAAAGACACAATCATAGAAAAAATCACAATCAATAAAAAAAAAAAGATCTTAAAAAAATAGTCTCGGTCCTGGCAAAAAAATTTCTTTTTTGAAAAAAGAATAACAAATTGATAGCGCAATGAAAATCTTACGATTTTAAAGATTTTGCGTAAGGCATAATAAACTATTTTAAAATGCTATTTGTATTATTTAGCACAAATAATATTTTATACCTCTATACTTCTATATGTTTTTTTTATCCAAATAAAAATATTTATAGTTTAAATAGTTTTTATGCCTTATGCAAAATCTTTAAATTCCTAATAAAAGATTTTCTAGTTTCACTAAATGTTTTCATTAATATAAAAAGAACTCTTCAAAAAATCTGATAAGAAAACAGCATAAAAGCTTTCTAAATATACGTGTGTGTGTGTGTGTGTGTGTGTGTGTGTGTGTGCGTGTGTGTGTGTTTACACACATTATATACCAAATAAATATATATCATTGCAAGTAAATATCATGAATTTCTGACACTAACACTTGTTAATATTAACATATTCATTAAGAGAATTTAAAAATTATATTAAATAAATTTCTAATCAGTCTCAACATTAACTTGCACTCTATGCCATGCATTGTTTAAAACACCTCTTAAATTCCATACAGGACCCACTGTTTCTGGTTGCGTATTACACGAACTATCTTGAGCTTTACAAATTATTTCCATTTTACCATGATGATCTATAGGGATTGGAACAGAACACTCCCATAAAGTCCATGAATACATATCAGTTATATTCTGATCTGCTTGTACAAGATCTGCAGTTACCCAAGTTTTACCACTATCTACAGAAACATCAACTCGAATGATACCACATCCACCACCACTATAGGCATATCCTTTAATTGTTACTTCTTTTTCATTTTCATGGACAGTAGAGTCATTTAATGGCAAACATATTGCAGATGTAACTGGTAGTTCTTGAATAGCCATAGCTTTTTTAAAATCTACATTATGCCAATCGATATTAGGAGAAAATGGCTTGTAATCATTTTGCTGCCAGTGACCATTATATTCTTTGTCACTTAAAATTATACGCTTTAACCATTTGACATTGCGAGCTCCAACAATACCTGGAGCAATAACTCGCAAGGGAAAACCATGGTCTCTAGATAAAGGCTTTCCATTCATTTCATAAGCAATAATAATTGGCAGTTGCTTTTTGAACACACGATCAGCAGGAATCGACGCACCATAAGGAGCACCGGATGGATCTAAATCACAGCCTTCAAAATGGATATGTTTTATATTAGAATTGTTAGGATCAACACCAGCACTTATTAGAATATCATATAACAAAACTCCTCCCCACTCAGCATTACTTATTGCACTGTGATTCCAGGTTAATCCTTTAACACTTTTTATAGCATTCATTTCGTTGCGACGGTTTCCAGCACACTGTATTGCAGCAATAAGTTTGAACTTTTCAAATTTAGCTTTTATATCCTCAACAGATAATATGATTGGTTCTTTTAAGCAATCACCTTCAATAACTATTTCTGCATTATTAGAAAGATCAGGAACTGGCAAATGGTTTCTTATAAAGAAAAGCTCATTGGGCGTAAGGAGGTTTTCATTCAAAAGTATTGAGGGTGTTTCTGCGTTAAATGGTTCTTTAGAGCAAACGAGAAGTCCAGGATGTCTAGGAGGATCATTTGCAAATGGTCCACTACTTTTCTGATCAATCCAATCATTTTTTTCTAAATCACCAATGTAAAACTCATTTAGCATTTCAAAAATTTCGTCTTTTTTATGAATGGCATATATATCCCAAAACGGTTCTAAGTTTTTTCCAGCAGCCAACATGATTTTACTGGAACCACCAGGATGATTTTCAACAAAAGCAGTTATATCAAAAACTTTATTGTTATAAATAACCCATATTCCTGTTTCTTTGCTCGTTTTTTTTGAAACTTCTTCTCTTGTATATGTAGAAGTTGGTAAACTTGTACTTTTTTCGTTACAACTTGCTTTGGATTTAAAAACATCACTGTAAAAACTATACACAGTAGCTGCAATAACTGAGGTAAAAAGAAAAGCACTATGATACGTTGTATAATGATACTTTTTTTCACTTTCCTCATCTCTTCGATAAACAAGATTATTTGCAACAGAACTAATTAAGCATCGTTTGTGATATCTACTATTACTATAACATATATGTCTAGTTAAAAGTTTACCATTAAAATTTAATCCTAATCTGAGCTCGAAAAACATAATAAAATTGTTTTTTAATCAAAAACCATAATAAAGATGTTTTTCAACTGGTGCTAAAGCTCAAGCTATCTGGTGCCGACTGCAATTGCTGCGTAGACAGAGTGCACGGGAACGAAACTATTTGTTGCCTTTCTATTACCTTGATAAGAGAAATAAATTAATAGTGTTATAAAATTAATTAATATTATTAATAGTAATAATTTAATTTACAGCCAGAGGCAATTTTATGAGTGTGTGTGTGTGTGTGTGGGGGGGGGGTGTTCCACCTCCCCTCCCCCCAAAGAAGGTGATAACTATTAAAATATAATAGTTATCATACCAAAATTTATATTGAAGTTTGCATCAATGTTATATATGTAATAAATATATATTATATATTTATTTTTCTGAACTTTCATACCTAAAAAAAGGAAATCAAGATTCAGCATTTTAGGGTATAAAAATCCAAAAAAATTCTTTTCGCTGATTGCTTATCAGCGCCATTTGGCATATATCTATGTATATGTAAAAAGTAAATTTAGAAATTTTTTGTAATTAGCTTTGCAATTGCTATTACTACTGTTATTATTTATTTTTTTATTTTTTTACTTTTTTATTTTTTATTTATTAGATCATTTTTACAAACTAAGAATATGATTCTTTGCTTGCGGTTTAAACGACGGTATTCCATTCAAGACTTTTAATTTTTAATTTTTCAGGTTTTTCCATGTTTCGGGGCCTTGTGACATAACTAAAAATTCAGAACCCCGGTTTTTTTTTTTTAATATAATAGTTATGGAAGCTATTATAACTTTGAGAGAATGATAACAAAAATATAAAAAAGAATTTGGTAGCATGTTATTTTTAAATTTGAACATAAAATAAGAATCTGATATAAATTAAGTTTTTCCAAGTTTAAGACTTTCGTATTTGTCATCGCATTAGTAGGATTGTCCATTCTACTTAGATAATGAATTGCTAAACAAGCCTGGTTTTGCAAGTCTTGTAGTTTGATTAATTTTGTATTGTGTGTATTAGCCCACACTATATTAGCATATGTAAGATGACTATGAATTAGACTAAAGTAAAGTTTTTTTCTTGAACAGAAATCAAGACACAATCACAATTTAATGACGAATCAAACAAAAATAAACTATACTTAAGGAGGATGTAAGTCCGTAAAAAACAAGTCCTGCGCGAGATCAGTAATATCGAAAACGAAGCCTAAAACCCAGTGCCGAGAGTAGGTTACCCGTACACCTTAACTTAGGGAAGATGGAGGGGGGAGGGTAAGGGGGAAAAGGGAAGAAAATTTTGTGCCCTTTTGCTAATTTAAGAATATTTTATTTTAGCAAAGCCTGGCGGTAAATTCGGGAGATTTTAAGACCCAAATGACACTTTTTTTTTTCCAAACATAAGTATGCCATTGTCAAATGTGTGAAACTTGTGCAAGCTCTAAAACTTAAGTATAACAATGGCTTGGTGATAAGACCAATTATGTCTTCTTCTTGCCCCTGCTATTTGTATTTATATTATGATTTACGACTATAATAGATTAATATGGCAAAATAAAAATGAATAAAAACTAAACAAATAAAATAAAACTATGCCAAATGAGGAGGTCTTGCAAAAAAAAAAAAGCCCTAAAACGCTTTCCCCCCCCCCTCCGCCCTAGCGTGAGGGCACAGATTTGATAAAATTTCAACTTTACAATCTAAAATTAAGTTTAAATTTATCAACAGATTTTAAATTTCGTAGAAAAATATTGTAAATTAAAATTTACCATCTAAAACTAAATTTAAATTTATCGACAAATTTTAAATTTCGCAGAAAAACATTGTAATTTACAAAATCACGACGTTAATTTTTGGCTAAAAATCTTTCAGCGCGAGTTGTTCGCGCGACTATTAAAACTAAATATCGCGTTGACTGAAATATTTTTACGTTTGGTTCAGTCTACACTAAAATATGCAGTTAAGTAACCAAGGATCATGGCTTAATTGTTCAAAAATTGAATTTTTAATGTGTTAATATGTTGAAATAAGAGTTATTTTTTTTGTTTATGGAAGAATATATGTATTTTTACACATTCTTCGTATTATTTTAATCATAATAAATGTCTACAAAAAGATGTTCGATAAACTACTATGTTAACTCTTTTATACACACAGTTTTACATTTGAAATTGATACTTGCATTAATATCTTTCTTTTTAGCTAGAGATTTCGAAAGTTAATAAATATATATTGAGATATCTTATTTTTTCTTGTAAAAACTGACATTTTTGATTTTCAAAAAGTCTTAAAACCTAAAATAATGAATTAACTTTAAAATCTCTAACTAATTATGGACCTAACACACTAAGGACCATTTATAGAGTTTTTTTATAAATGAAGTAAAAGATAAGTATGAGTTTTTATCTCTGATGTTTCTATGTGACTTTTTAACTAATTTTCAGTAAACTGGCAGCCATTTTTAAGAAATACTTTTTTATTATTTGATTAAAAAACAAACTATTTTTAAGACTCTTGAATGTTAAATGTAAATATCATACAATTTTTATTTATTTATTGCTTGACATTAAAAAATTTTCAATTTTATATTTAATAAATTATATTTCATAAAAATAATATTTATTATTAGGTATAAATATATAAATAAAACAGTATGAAAAAATGTTTACAAATATCTTAACTTGCAACGTGTGACTGGCTACCCATCAGTGTTGTCGGTGTTTAACCGAGATATGCATTCATTTTACAACATTTTATGAAGTAAGTTAATGTTTGTTACTTGTATTTCATAATTTCTTTAAATTATTTTTGAGATTTTTGGATTTAAATTTTGGTGTTTTACAAAATTTTAAGTTTTAAAAATTATTTTACTCTTAGATTTTAATTTTTTTAAATAAGTAATTTTTATTCAGAAGTACAATTATAATTGGAGTGTTCAATTTTGTAATATTTTTTCTGCAAATATCAATTTGATATTATATTATCAATGTGAAAGTATAATCTTAATAGAAAACCAATAGAAACCACTTGCAAAAGCTTTTGATATTGATTAGTCTTACAAAATTTTACTGTTATTTTTACAAGGTTTCTACTTTTTTTATTTTATTTTATTTTAACATGTTTATTTCACAACTACAAAGTATTTATAATTGACCAATCATCGATTAGCAAATAAAGATATAAAAATATAAATATCGTAAACATAAAGTCCAAAATAAATAAGGGAAAAATCTAAAATATTGTTACATTTAACTTTGAGACATGATAAAAATAAATACAATGTACACAATAGAATAACGTGAACGTAAAAATTACCCAAGAAATAAACCTTCCATATTCTTTCAATCAGAATAAAATATATATGTATATATAAAAGTATGATAAAAACAAGATTTGTATAAGATAGAAGAAAATAGTTAATTGTTTGTAGTTATAGGAAGCTCGCAGAAGACTGGGGTCAGTCTTGTCATCAGTACCTTCTAGACGTGTAATACACATAAAAATCAGTTGAATACGTGGCAAATATGTATGCGATACATATATGCCTTAAAATTATTAATGTTACTATCTCCTTTAGTATTATTTTTATTGATTCCTTTGAAAAGTTACATTTTTTGTTTTATTAGGGTTGTTTTATATTATTTTAATTTTTAAATTTTAAATTGGAGTTTAAAAAAACTCCTTGTAGTTGTTTAACTTGATTATTGTAGATTTTAACTTTGTTTTTAGGGACTGTTCGTTGTTTAAATTTATTAGCGATTCGTTTCTAGAAATTATTTTGTTAAATAAATAGGGACCACGATGTTTTATTGAAAACTTTGAGAGTTTAGTTTTTTCAAAGGGTATCTTAAAGTTTCCCGTTGCTCTTGTATTGTATTTGTTTACGTTGTTTTCAAAAAAGTGGGCTGTAAAATGTTCTGGAACCAGACTTAGTTTATACTTAAAAATGAAAAGTATATTTTGATAAATATTAATTTGAAAAATATTTAAAGCGTTCATTTCCTCCAGTAGGGGTTGAGCATGAGTAAGTTTGTTTTTGTTGAACACTAGTCTTGAAGCGTGCTTTTGACGCAGATAAAGCGGTTTTAATTTAGTTATGTGGGTACTGCCCCATGCTATATTGGCATACATAAGATAGCTATGTATAAATGAAAAATAAACGAGTATTAGACTTTTTTGTGTCAAGAAAGATCTTGCTTTATAAAGTAGACCTACTGACTTACTTACTGACAGTAAGTATTAAAACACGCGTTAACTGGCTATCGGGAGATTTTTGAACAAAAAATTAACGTCGTGTATAACCATACAAAATTTATACCCCCTCATTTTAAAGGGGGGAGGGGAGACGTTTTAGGGCTTTTTTGCTCCCAGACATATTGTCATATATATCATATTATGATATATAATATAGTTACATGCATCTATAATATAGTAACAGGGATTAGGTTATTGACAGTTAACTTCAAAGAAAATAAAATTAAATATATATAAAAATAATAAAAACTTAGATTTATTGACTGATTTTTATTATATTATTACTGTGTGAGTATAAAATCTTAATTTTATAATTTAATTTCCTGACATTTATATTTTAAGTATTACGTTTAAAAAAAAAAACTATAATACTTAAAATACAAATGACAATAAATAAAATAGGATTTTATACTCATACAGTAATATAATAAAAAAATTAGTTAATCAATCTAAATTTCATTAATTTTATATATATCTAATATGACATAAAAATATAAAATATATAAAAATAAAGAAAATTTAATGACATATAAAGTGAAAAAAAAACATGTCACGACATATATATGTCATATAAAGTTATATATAGTTTTTCTTTACTATATAAACAATCTTTGTATATTTTATTTATCTATATACATATATAAATATAAAACACATATGTTATCTAACAATAATCTAATAAGTAATTGTGACCTCTTCATTCGAGAATCGCCATTATTAAAACACCTTTTAATAATTTTAATAATGACATTTTGCGTCATTAGACTTAATAAAAAGTTTTTTCAAAACTGAAAGTGATAAATTTTCTTATTTTCGGAACGGACGAGAAAAAGACGTTCATAAGACCTCTTATTATAGTGAATATTGTGAATAAATTGAGCGGACGTGAACTGAACGTACATAAGACGTCTTTTTTCCGTCGTGTGCCCACTGGGTATGTAAAATTACAATATAAAATTACAGATCTCTGTAATGTCTTCAAATTTTGATTTTATATTCCAGAGTTTTAATTGTAATTTTATCTTTTGAAAATTTAGTGTGTAAACTACGAAACATGCTAAGATTGAAAAATATCGTGTTTTTCATACAAATAAGCAATTAATTATTTCGGAAAAAATTTAATTAGGTTTTTTCCGAGACTGTAAATGAAGTATCACTAAAAGATATTTTTTACAGAAAAATTTAGTAACAAACTTTATGGTATGAAGAACGTTACAAACAAGAAATTTTTTTTCTATATTTAGAAAAAACAGGAAGGGGCAAGTGCCCCCTCTTGCCCCCCCCACCCTTGCGGGCGTCCATGATTGTATTATTTCCTTTTTTTTCAAACAAGTTTTTTAGGATGCTTAAAACTTTTTGTTAACAAATTTTTATAGTTTTTGTCATATATTAACTTTTTAGAAGCGCTTTAAATATTTTTCAGAAAGTTTTTGTTTCATTTTTGATGGTTTGCGAAGAATTTTTAAGGTTTAATCATTCATTTAATCATTATGCAAAGTGGGCAGCAAAATTTCTGAAGCGACACTAAAAGTTAGTAAAATAAAATATAAATATATTAATAAAGCTTTTTTGAGAAAGCTTTGCAGCATGGAGGCTCCAAAGAAAACTACTAGACACCAACTGTTTCTGTGGCTAGCGATGAGCAAGCCACAGAAACAGTCGGTGGCTAGCATAAGTCACTTCTAAATCTATGGATAAAAGGTCAATGAAAGATTAATTACTTTTTTATTTGAACTTGATATTGCTAAAAAATTTAAAATTATGGAGCTTGTTTCTACATTTAGTAAAATGAAAGTGCAAAAACCGAAGTTTCAAAACTATATTTAATAAGTTTGCCTTTTAAATATTGTATAAAATAATAAATATTTGAATATTTTATAATAAATATTTTACAACATTTTTTTGCCGGAACAACAGCAGGATCTCAAGAAGATAATAAGGATCTTATCATGAAGCCCATCAATAATACTATTTTAAAACGTCATACGAATATACTAATTATTTTATATACTATAAATATATATATTTTATTGTATATAAATAAGAACTAAAACAAACAACAGCATATCATAACTTTATTTTTTGTTTGTGAAAACATTAATTAAATAGTTGACGTGGGTACAAGAGGAATAGGATGCGTTACTTCAAGTTTTTCTAGGGTACCAATTATTCTGGCGCTGATTTTTCATCCATAGATTCAAATGTGACTTACATTGAATTAAAAAAAGTCAGTTTGATTGACCTAGTAAAAATCTAGTCAAAGTGGTTTACAGAAAAACGCTTTATCACATGGACGTTTAGATATAAGAAAAAAGAGGAAAGTTACTTTACGTAAGAACAGTAAAATTTTATAAACTTGAGAAATTAAAAAATGGCTACGGACCCTACAAAGCAACAGAAAAAATTTAATTATAAAACCAGTTATATGTATATTCAGCGCCAGCCTTAGCTTTTTTGACAGGTTGGGCAAAACTTGTGAACGCGCCCCTAGGCATATATGGGTGGGTTGTTACCATTAACAACGAGACCAATGCTCTAAAATGATGAACAAGAGTGCTCAAGGGAATATATAGTTTAATGTAAAGAGATCCATATTGTGCATCAAGTTTCTTATTTAATTAATTTTTTATTAAAATCATAAACTTAGACTTTTCATGATATGGGTTTATAGAAATGAGTGACTAAATAAATAGACAACGCAACGCTGCTTTTAAAATAACAAATGTTTTTATTAAACATATAATAAATCCTCTAACTATATAAACAAGAGTTATTAAATTTTAAAATCTAACTTTTCTAGCTTTTTTGTCCGCGAAATCTCTTATCAAACTTGAAAAACCTAAATTTTCAGCTATATCTTGCTCGTTTGATAACATAGATAGAGAATTAAGTCGATCTTGCAACATGGTATTTCTTAAATATGTTTTGATTAACTTCAGTTTAGAAAAACTACGTTCTCCACTAGCAACAGTAACAGGTATTGTAAGAAGAATGCGCAGAACAATACATGTATTTGAATATAACTCTTGTAGACAATGATTTTTAATAAAATTCAGTACAAAAAGTGGTGTCATCTCTTTTGTATTTATTTCATTTTCAACATTGCTAAATTTATCTTTAATAAAAAACTGCAAACTTATTAGTTCGTCGCATAGCAAAGCACCATTAATTTCTGATTTTGTATTTACAGTTAATTTTTCTTGTAATTGTTTACACAATTTTAAAAATTCATTCTTTATGGGCAAATTATCCAAATTAAATAAAAAACTCCATATATTTACATATTCATTAAGTTGTTCAAATCTTTCATTTATTGAAGACAGACATGAATCTAATAAAGGGTTAAAAAATGTCACTTCAAGTTTCTTCTCGGGATTTTGAATTGGTTCGTCAGCAGCATTTTCATCATAATGACGTTTCACTCGTCGTACTCTTTTAAGCGGCTTAAATATTGCATCGATGTTTAACTCTTCAGCTAACTCTTTGGCATCAACCGTTGCTTGTTTAAAGCCAAACGTTCTGTAATTTTCCAAAAATGTGATGCATTTTTTCAACATTTCAGCGCACTGTACTAGATCCATGTCTTTGGCTTGCATTGCTTTACTAACAACGTTTATTTGAAATAGTACATTGTACCATGCAATTTAAGAAACTAAAAAACTAGTCTTTTAATTGTTCTGCTAATGTTTGCGCTTCGTGTGCAATTTCGTGAGTTTTGGTTTCAGTTTCATATATAGTAATTAAAGCATCATGTACGCTGCTTATTTGATATCGGATGGCTTTGAGGCTCTCAATTTTGGCTTCCCAACGAGTGTCGCATAATCGTTTAAGAGTGAAGTTTGTTGTATGACTAAGTAAAACATTCCAGCGTGAAGTTGATGCAGAAAATAATGTGACTAACCTTTGTATCATGCCAAAAACGTTAATGGAATTTATTGAAGACTGCGCTGCGTCACAAATAACCAAATTGAGAGAATGACTTCCACATGGAAGGAAAAAAGCCAAAAGATTCAAATCTAATATTCGCTTTTGTAGACCTATTTTTTTACCTTTCATATTTGCACCTTTATCGTAAACTTGCCCTTGACAAAAGCTTATATTCAGGTCCAAAATCTTTTAAAACTCCAATTATGATTTCTGTTAAACCAAGACCTGTCGTGTCGTTAACAATCCAAGAAAGTGTTCATTTTTTTTATAGGATATTCTGATATATTTACAATTCTAATCGTAAGCGAGAGCTGTTCTTTATGAGATACGTCAGGAGTGCAGTCAGCAATTATAGAATAATATGTACTTTTTAGAGCTTTGTATATAATTATGTTGGTTACTTTTGATGTCATTTTATCTATCATTTCATTTTGAATGGTTTATCCACAGTAATGATCAGAAATATCTCCTTTAAGAGCTAGCGTAACGTGGTTTAACATGATAGGATCAAATTTAGCGAGTAATTGTACCAATCCTAAAAATTTGCCGTTATTAACTGCATACAATTTATCAGAAGAACCTCTGAAGGCCATATTATTTGTTGCTAAGCATAAAGTAATGTTCATCAATCGTTCAAGAACACTTCGCCACCTTAAACTGTCCTTTTCGATTAGTTTTTGTTCTTGTTTATCAATAGTTTCACCAGCTTTCATTCGTATTTCTGTCTCAATCCATAGTTGATAAGAAATTCTGTGTGACTTACTATTTTCGTGAAATTTTAATGCATCTGTTAAATTCTTCCATTTATTGAATCCATTTCCGTTTAACTTTAAATTCATGTTGAAATCAAAAAGTTTGCAGCAAAAACAAAATACCGCATCTTTAGAAACTGAGTACACAAGCCAACGACATGAAATAACCTCACCATTTGAAAGTTTTCGGTTGTAATAAGCATTTGAAAAATGTCGTCTTCTATTATCGCGTGGATATGTGTCCAAATTCACTTGTATTGCCCCTATATTAATTTTATAATCAACAAATTAAATCAAATATCAAATATCAAAAAGTAAATCAAATATCAAATGCATTCAGTAGTAACTACTTTACCTTAGGAGTTTTCATTGATCTGTCAAAAGCTTTCGATACCGTTAATTATAACATACTAATAAAAAAACTTGAACACTATTGAGTAAGAAATAACAATTTACTTTGGTTCAAAAGTTATTTGACCGATAGAAAACAATTTATAGTGTATGAACAAAAGCAAACATTGCTGTCTGCTATAACTTGTGGGGTTCCCCAGGGCTCTATTTTAGGACCTCTGTTGTTCCTAGTGTACATTAATGATTTAAATTTAGCAATAGACCTATTAAATTGTATTCTTTTTGCAGATGATTCCAATCTTTTTTATTCCCACAGAGATATCAATACACTATTTAAAACAACAAACGAACAATTATCGAAAGTTAATGAGTGGTTTAAAAGTAATAAACTTTCTCTGAATGTGGATAAAACCAAATTTATTTTGTTCCACAAAGTAAATAATTCAAAAAATATTCCCATCAAATTGCCTAATTTAATAATCAATAACACTAACATTAAAATCTTAGATGAACATTTACGTTGGAATTTACACATAAAACGTATTGAAAATAAAATATCAAAAAATTTAGCAATGATATATAGGACTAAACCATTTTTAAACAATAATTCTTTAAAAAGTTTATATTTCTCTTTTATTCATTGTTACTTAATTTATTGCAATATTGCATGGGTAAGTAAAAACCATACAAAATTAAAAAAATTGTACTGCAAACAAAAACACGCGTGCAAAACAATATTTGGAGCTGACAGAACTGTACCTTGTGAGCCTCTTCTGCGTATACTTGGAGCACTAAAAATATATAAAATCAACTTACACCAAGTTTTAATGTTCATGTATAAAACAGATATAAGATTATCTCCTAAAATATTTCAATCCTATTTTGACAAAATAGTTCATAAATATCCAACAAAATTTTCAAATAACAACTTTGTTGTCCCAAAATATAATTCAAAACTAACTTCATATTCAGTTCTTTATCGTGGACCTTACTTGTGGAAAATGTTTCCCAAGATTGTAAATACACATAAAACTAGTATAGAACAATTTAAAAATGAATAAAACAGGCATTCTTACTCATGGATTTTAATATATCTGATTTTAAATGTTTTTTTTAACTAAAACTCAAATACAAAATATTATTAATACAAAAATTATGTCACTGAGTGTATCAATATTATTTCTTCATTACCTTAATTATGGTATCACCTCTATGGCGTTTGCTAATTTATTTACGTTATTTCTATGAAGTATACTAATTTATTTTTGTTATTTCTATGGTATACTTTTTTTTTTTTTTTTTAACTTTTTATTTTTGAATCTTAGTTTAAAGTTTTAAGTTTTAAGCAAATGATAATATCTTATTTATTTATTTATTTTCACTTGATCTTACTCTTTCTTTAAATTTTGATTCTTTTTATTTTTTCTTTAAATGACAACGAATTTTTATCTATTTTACTTTTATATTTTTCTTTTTTTAATAAATAGTTTGTTAACTATAGATATTTAAATATTACGGTTTTTGTAAATACGTGAGAATGGGGCTCGGTAATAAGGCTAAATAAGTCTTCTTCTTACCCCGCCAATATTTATTTTTATTTATATGCTTCGAAACTGTATATTATTAAACGGCAAAATAAACAATAAAAAAAAATAAAAAAAAAATTGAATGTTGCGATGAATTGGCCACAAACCACAGTCTGAGTAATTGATTGCTGTTTCTTTGGTGCGATCATTTACATCACCATCTTGGCCATCATCATTTTCGTTATCGATATCTTTTTCATCGTAGTGAACATTTCCAACTGACACTATTCCGTCTTCTTCATCGCTGGTTGATGTATCACTAAGTACATGCGCAACATTTTCTCCTTCCTTTATTTTATTACAATCACTATTTTCCAATGTAAAAAAATTTTCAAGTTTTTTATAATTTTTTCTTCAAATTATCAACTTTTTCTGCTTTACGTTTTCTGTATTGAGCACCAGATGCTTTCTTATTATTATGAGTTTTAAAAACATTTTTTTCTTTATTATGAGTACTCTCCATTGATTGCTGCTGACAGTTTCTATTTGTCTAAAATTTTAAAATAAAAAATTACTAGCAAGCTAATAATTCATCAACAATTTCATTATTTATACTTACCTACTTTTTATTACCGCAAAATTTGAAAACTTGACAAAAACTGAATTTGAATCACAAATACAACTTTAAATTTCTTCTACAAATTAATAAACAACGCGCTCGCAACTCGTACCGAAAATAATGTTTAAAATTTAAACTTTAAATAAATAGAAAGCAAAATGATTGGCGCCGAGAAAGATACAAGTAAAAAAATGAATTTAAGTAACAAAATATATGTTATGATTGAAACACTTTTAATCAAATTATTAATTTTGAATAAAGAATTTTTAACAGTGTAATAATACAATAAATAAATTATTTAAAGAAATTATTTTTATAAAAAAAAAAAAAACATTCGAAAAAATAACAAATAATAGAAAATCGAAATCGAAAAAATTTAGGTTGACTTATTTTTTCTATTTATTATATTGCAACGTTTGGCGCTCCAGTTTCCTGGCGCCCTTGGGCGGCGCCCAACCTCGCCCCTCCCTAAGGCCGGCACTGTGTATATTCTAGGTCATTTATATTTTAGGTACGTTTTTAATTTTTTATTGAGTTACGTAAGTTTATAAATAGATTAATTACGTAAATTATTATTTCAAACATAATAAGAAATGTTGCATTAAGAAAAAGATAAAACATTTTGAACTAAATTTGTAATAAATTAACAATCTTTACTTTATTTAAAAACACTGATATTGCAATATATATATAAAACCTAATCATTTTATAACTGAATAAATAAAAAAAATTTACTCTAGCAACTACTTAATTGTTTTTTTCTTTAACATTGTCGTTGGTTGGTTTTTTTTATAGTGAAATCTGTATGGAGGTAAATTATTTTATGTAGCCTGTTGTTGCAATGAGAAAAAGAGTAAAAAATAATAATAAACAATAAAACATATTTTAATATAATGTGAATATAGTTTTGAGAGTATTCTTGTTAATTCTTTAGCTGACTTTAGCTTAGTTTTACTTGATAATTCTTTTGTTTTCCATAAAAAAAACTTTTTATGTTTTTGTTAACTTAAGAATAACTTCAATTTGCTTTAAATGAAGTATTTTGCTATATCCCAGAAATGATTTTCTCTATAAAAATCAAAGTGTTTATGTTTCAATAAAGTATATTTTTATCTAAGATCTATAATAATTTTTAAAAAAATCAGTTTTAAAATTGTGAACCAATGATAAACTTTGCTTAAAAAAAAAAAACTCATTTTCAATTTTTCATATATCTGAGTGAATTTCCACCATAGATGTATCTTTTATTTTATTAATACGTTGTATATATTGTAATATCTCAAATTCTTATCTATTACTTTCTAATTTTATTAGTCACCGTGGCGGCGAATGGGTTGTAGGCTATTTATAACTTGATAATAGAGGCCTCTACAAGTTAAAATTATTTCTAAATTAATGGAAACCATTAATTTAGAAATAATTTTAACTTGTAGAGTAACCTAGGGCACGACATTATTTAGTCGTAAGTCAACAAAATTTTCTTTAGTTTTCTAAATGCTATTTATCAATCTAATAATTTATGAATAATACTTTACATGATATGCAGGCAACAAAAAAATTAAAATTGATAGTTAAATAATAAGTAAAATTTCTTTTCCAGTCTTTTAGTAACTTCTTTTCCAGTCTTTTAATAATCTGTAACTACTAATTAAGTGCAAAAATATTACAGTTTATAATTTTGTGTAAATTAAGTGAAATAAAAAAATTAAACTTTTTTTCGAAAACCATTAATTAATAATTCGTTCTTTTTTGCTTGACGTCATTTTTCGGGTCACTTTGCTGCTCACAAATAAATGTTTTTAACTGTTGACATTATATCTTCTTTTTATTTTTAAAACAATTACAGAAAATTTTTATTGATTCCAACGTTTGTTGCAAAAAATTTGAACTTCAAATGTGATTTTCATATCTATGGTCACTATCTAATTATTTCATGTCTAATATCAAAATGTAGTAATGAAATCAAATAGATTGAAAATATTGATTAAAATTTGATAATCCAGCTGTTTATAGTTTCGAATGTAGGGTTTTGTTCATTTGAGCAGGTGGAATATCAAAGTTTGAAGAACATAAATATAACCTTTTGAACAAAACGTACTCTTAGATAAAATACAGATAAATTAGATAGGATGGATCAAAAACCAAAAATTACCATCGATCAAATTACTTTTTATTTACAGAAAATACTATGCATTAAAATAACTTTAATTCAATAAGCTGGGAAAAGATATCACAAATGCTGTGTTTTTTTCTATTTGAAATGCCATTTCCATAAAATACTTTTTTTATTTCTTTGGTTGTTATAAATTTTTTTAAATAATATTAATTTCAAAAACTCACTTTAACATATTGATGATATTCTGTTTTAAATAAAAACTTTAAATAAAAACTTTAAATAAAAACTTTAAATAAAAACTTTAAATAAAAACTTTAAATAAAAACTTTAAATAAAAACTTTAAATAAAAACTTTAAATAAAAACTTTAAATAAAAACTTTGAATAAAAACTTTAAATAAAAACTTTAAATAAAAACTTTAAATAAAAACTTTAAATAAAAACTTTAAATAAAAACTTTAAATAAGAACTTTAGACGCTTTTAGAAAGCAGATCTTACTGGATAACCTCCTCTTCTTTTTTTTTTTTATAACAAAACATTAAACTATTAAATTTAGAACGAAACATTAAACTTAAATCGAAGACCTTAGTGCCAAAAGTACTTAAGTCAAAAAATACTCATTCTGAGAGTTCGAATATTCAAACTAACCTTGAAATCTGGCAAGGCATGCCAATACATTTCTAAAAACAACAACAAGATATTTATTTTTCTCAAAATTTAAAATCATATAATAACAATAATATATTAATAATGATATTAACAAAAATAATAATAACAATAATAACAATAATAATAACTTTATTAATTAATAGAGCAAAAGTAACAGCAAAAATAATAGTGTTTATAATAATTGTAATAATAATAGTAATAATATAAACAACAGTAATGAAAGTAATAAATATTAATGACAAAAACAATAAAATTTCTATAGAAACAGTATGAAAAAAAAAAAAAAGAAGAAGAAGAAAACTAAAGGAAGTTAATAATGATAAAAAATTAAAATAAATTTTTTTTTAGAACTTGTTTAAATTTATTTTGTTTTAAATAAAGAAATGAAGATAAATTATTTTTAATTCTATATCCTTACATTATTATAATGAATGAACTTGCTTATCTTAAAATCTTAAACCATCATCTTTTAGAAGATATGTGTAATTTATTTTTAGGACTTAAGAAAAGAAACACTTAGCTAATGCAATTTTTCAACATATATTATTACTATAAAGAAATAAGTCTATTCTATGTGTTCATTGTCACTCGTGTTTCCATCTATATCTATGCCATGAATATTAATATAAAAAGTAACTCCTTCTGGAAGATTGACATGTGTTAAAAGTTCACAAATATCATGAGATTTGGTAGTTTTGACAAGCAAAAACTTTACGTATGCTCTATTGGGTTTGAGTGAAATGAGAGCTAAAATATTTTTTTACCACATTTGAAAGTTTTTATGACATCAGAACATTCTGTCATTGAAGTTTGACTTATTGGTACCTTGCCTCGTTCAAATTTTGCTCATAAGCTTATTTAAAGTCAAGTACTTTAATAACTGGGGTTCCATATTCAATTATGTTGTCTGTAAGAGGATGTTTGACATTTAATGGTTTGCTGGTATCTGTATTTTTTTTAAGTGCTAACTACAGTAAAGGTAAAATTACCCAGTCCTTTTTTCTTCTCCCTTTTTTAATGCGCCTGAAATTCCGACCACAATGCATTCGCCTATAACCTGGATGGGGATACTTTACATAAGCTTGTGTTATAGAGACATTCTTATTTACCAATTTTTGTAGGTAGGCAAAGATGAAATGGTTTTTATACTGTGAAAAACAGTTATCCATGAAAATTACAATTTTTATAGTTGTAACTGAAAGACCAGATATGTAATGGTCCAGACATGAAATGACTCCATTTGGGCCCTTACTACAAAATGTTTAGCATATAGGTACATGTTAACAGATTTATTTACATTGTTATGAATGTACAGGCTGAGAATCCAAAGTTGACGCTTATAAAACTCTTGTCCAATGCCAGTTAGAGGAA